AGGCTTTTGAGTTATGTCACTGATTTTATGAGTCATTTGACAATTGCCTGTATAACGCTCACCCACTGGCCCCTCCCTGAGTCAGAAGCAGGAGAAGCCTAATCATTAGGAGACTCTAAAACCCAAAGCCCATTCTCTGACTGTAGAATTTGTTTGTTTGATCTAAAAAAAAACAAAAACAAAAACAAACCCACCAACTAACAGATTAAAATATAAATATCAGATTATTCCAATTAAGAGAGTCTAATGGACTTTGAGAGAGCTTTTCTCCAGCTCTGACTTAAGATGTGTTATTAACTGCTCAAGGTCTGTTCATGCTTTCATAGAAAGCACTCACTTGTTTCAGTTTCCAGTTCAACTCTGTCACCAAAAGAACTTGATAAATTTGCCTTCTAGCTAGAGTTGAAGTGCCATCCATATTCAACTGCTTTGTTTTAATAAAACTGCTGCCTTGCCTGGCTATGATGGCGCCAAGATAAAAACGGACAATCCCTAATGAAGGAAATACTACAACCTGGTACCACAAATGTGATTTACATGTTTTTGGTCTATTTTTTTTAAATATGTTTTTATTGATTTCAGAGAGAGGAAAGGAGAGGGAAAGAGATAGAAACATCAGTGATGAGAGTCATTGATCGGCTGCCTTCTGCACGCCCCCGACTGGGGATCGAGCCCACAACCCAGGCATGTGCCCTGACTGGGAATCGAACCGCAATCTCCTGGATCCTAGGTCCATGCTCAACCACTGAGCCATGCTTTCTCTTCTTTTGTCTATTTTTTAATGCCAGTATGCCCTGTACCTTGAGAAGATTCCACTCAGTTATCACACAGTGATAAATCTGATTAATAAGCAAAAAAAAGGTAATTTTTTCTGGTAATAATGTCAAAAATAGCCCGCCTGGCAGAGGGGTGGCCTGGGGCCTATATACCTCAACTCCTCATATCCTTTTTCTGGCCCCTCCAAGTCAATTTACATTTGCTCCTCTAGAAGAGCTATTATTCAAGGTTACTGAGTAATCTGGCTGAGCAAAGAATGTAGCGGTGGCCACTCACTCTTCCAATTTTCCCTTCATTACATCTCTCATATTATTACACTATCTATGGCACAGTCTCTTCCTCAGTTGTAATTTCTTATCAAATATTCTCACTTTGATTTTAATATTGATATGTTAAACTATGTAACACTGTTGGTTAGGTAGAAATTTAAATTAAATGCTTTTGCAATACCTATTTTGAAACCGTTCACTGGGCACTTTATCTGGAGTTTGGTTAAATGTTCTGTAATTCTCAATTACATTGGCTGGGGCCTCAGAATAATCTGCCTTAGTGAATAGTAAAAGCTGCTAAAAGCTGTATTGGGTCTTCAGTACAGTTGTACTCTTAACATATTGTACCCAAGAAATATTGCCATTCCCATTGTCCTGGGTAACAGTCACGCTGCAGCTCATCTAGTTGTGCAGATGACTGGTGCTGTTCTCCCCAAGGCATTCGTTTTAGTAATACAGGTTCAAGGCCTTTTAGATAGCTTATGATGAGTCTGTCAGCCAGGGCTCCCAGACCCCTCAGACCTGCTGAGAAGTTGTCCTCCATTTCCCTAAGTGTGGTGGCTGAACTGGAGCCAGCGCCTCCTGGGCCTGAATTCCATCTCCAGCTAGAGGCCCCTAGGACGTGCACATACCAAAGAGCTGAGAGAGGAGCCCTGAGATCACAGGAGAGCATCCCAGAAACATCTTGGAGATGAAGTCTGTCCCCTAGCCTTCCACAGTAATCTCAGGTACCCGCTGAAATCCCAGACTCATGGTGGTGGCCTTTTTCTCCAGAGCAAAGATTCTTAAGTTGAGGTCCACAGACCCCTAGGGAGTCTATGGAAGCACTTCGGGTGCTTCATAAACTCCCTATTAAAGCATATAAACTTCCTATTAATGTACTGTATATTAAATGTATATATATATATACACATTATTCTGGGGAGCAGGCTTCATAGGTTTCATCATATTTTTCTAAATATAATCCATGGAAGAACCTTAAGAGCTCTGTGGAAGTCTCCAAGTTGGGATTACAGGGACAGAGGTAGTTAGATCAATTCTGACACAGATGAGCCCTGAATCTGCTTTTCAACCACATCCAGTGTTTGTGACATTGTCAGATGCCAGGCTCTAGGAAATGTCCCTGAACCTGCAGAGACTTTTAATGACCATCCCAAGTATGGTCTGATCCCAGAAAGGACCATTTGTACCTGGATAGCTCAGAGACAGACCCAAAAGAGAAAAAATACATATGCTCTGAGTCTACGGCTAGCTGTGTTCATCATAGGTACCAGGCCACGCCTCTGGGACTGGCTTCTGGGCAGGAAGAGAAGATTGGAGCCATTGAAGAGAGGCAGTCAGCAGCTCCAGGCCTGGCTCCTAAGAGCCTGGGGCCAGAGGGCCTCCCCCAACCTCTGCAGAAAGGGAGAGCTGGTCCTTATTGCCAATCACTCTCCCTCATTCAATGTCCAAGGTCTCCCTGGATCCTGAAATAACACAGACCCTGCAGAGAGAAAAAAGGCCCACAACTGGCCCAGAAAGCCAACCAGAAAATGGTGTATATATCCTGGCAGGGTACAGCCTAATCTGGAAGCTTCAGAAATATAAGGTGCTTTGAAGCCAAGGGTTCATTTATGTTGTGGTTCTCAAACTTTAGTATAAATAAAAACCATCCTGAATGTGTTTTACAATACAGATTCGTAGGCCCAAGGGACTGTGATTCAGTAGTTCTAGGGTAGAGCCCAGGTGTTTACATACTTTTTAAAAGGAAACTAGTAATTCTGATCTCGGGAGTCCATGGAGTATACCCTTAGAAACAGTTTCCAGGGGCTCTAAGGCATCAGATGTGGAGAGGAGGAAAGAGCAGTCCCTCCTTCCCAATCCCCACTGAAGCTTCCAGTTACCATTTATTTAGTCCTCTATACAAGATACTGTACTTAATCTTCTACATAAACTATTTTACTTAATCCCTTATAATCCTGAAGTTCAGAGATAGTAACTTGTGCAAGACCCCTCAGCTGAGTACCAGAGCCAGGACTGAGATCTGAATCTAGAGTCTGTTCTTAACCAGTAAGCCCGGGATTTTGAAAAGAGTTTCAGTGCCTACTGCCTGATGACAGCAGAGAAGCTGTGAAGCCACATCCCCTCTGCAGCTGGTTTGGGGGAGAGCCCCACAGGCACAGGGTAAGTAGGCAACTATTGCAGGAGAGGAAGCAGATGCTCAGGCAGGGTAGAGCCAGAAGGGAGGAGCTACGGTAGCTGGGCTAATAAAGTAAGGACTACATTCCTGGAGTGCAAGACAAAGGACAGAGATGAAAAATGTGACAGGTAGACAAAAGGGGTTTCAAAGAAATAGACTATCCTCAGAGAAATCAATGAAATGCCATGGAAAGCTTTTGGTGAGCACAGGCCCAAGATCCCTGGGGGTCTATGGCCCCTGCTGATCAGTACTGCATTTATACTCTTCAACTAATAGGGGAAATGAACTTGATGCACCAGAATAAAGGCCAACTCTGAAGCCCAAGATCCTTTATAGATTATTAAATCATCATCCTCTAAAGGGGTATAACAATATTATCTATCCCACAGAGTACATACAGTGAAAAGAAGTGAGATCATTTGAATAAAGTGCTTATAATGTCAGACACACAGGACTGAACAAGGGTTAGCTGCTATAATCATTAATTACTACTAATTATGACTATACCCATGCTCACCAAGAAACCACTGTAGCACCTTGTTTATTTGTGAAAGACAGTGAGATCAAATGTGGTCTCTATGGATTGAGGTTTTCTCTCTCCAGAGAGAAGTTACTGTTAGGGTGGGTTTTTTTGTTGTTGCTTTTGGGGGTTTTTAATAAACTCAAGAACAAAAACAGTCATAACCCTAAATAGATCAACAATTTAATCAAGAAACACTTTAGACTTCCCTTTACCTTTAGTTCTGATGTTATCCAAAAACTGATTTAACTGTTCTATCCAAATTCGTTCTGAGGGGAAAATGAAGCTACAGAGTTCTGTGCAACTTTTTCATCAAACAACTACCTTTTCATGTATCAGAAATGACTGTGTGACTGTTAGCTAAACTCCCAATAGTTTCAACTACCTAGGAGAGATGCCCCAAACAAATGAACTTTATTTCCAGACAACAGATCCAAGCAGGCCAGCAAGAAGACTTGACTGCTGAACTATGGTAAACATATGGCTGAATATTTTCTCACCATCTAGGAACCTCTGATATTAAAAGGAAGCCCCATCCCTCCACCCCCTACCGAGCCTCTTTGCTCAGAGTAAAGGAGAACTTATGAGACAGACTTCTTAAGAAAGGAGTATGTGGATGGTTTTGGATAAAAAAAATATGAAAGGGACAGAAGAAACTAAGTCTCCCCATGAAGCAAGGAAAGAGAAAGAATATTACAGAACAGATTAAGATTAGAGAAGTAGAGCATAGGAAATATAATCAATAATACAGTAATACCTGGGTATGGTGCCAGGTGGGTACTGGAAATATCAGGGGAAACACTTTGTAAAAGATATGATTGTCTAATCGCTATGCTGCACCCCTGAAACTAATACAAATAATATTGAATGTCAACTGTAATTTTAAAAACAATTTTTAAATTAAAAAAGATCAGAGAACAAGACCAAACAGTGCCTTCGGGATAAACAAGAGACCCCTCCAGCGGCTCTGAAGAAAGGGCACTGCGTGCCTCCAGAGAGGGAGATAAATGTAAGGAACAGAAATATATGGTGTGCCTGGGTTAGGTCAGTTTCAAATGGCTTTGCTCCCATTAGTCAGAACTAACGTGAGTCCTGAGGATGGTGGTCAGGCCTATCCCAGCCACCCTCACCAACCAGGGAACACACCTATGACAAACCCAAATTCCTAACTCCTGAACTATTTCGAGTCACCCCACATTGTAGCCACTCAGGAATAGAACAAGCTTTGTTTCTAAAAAACAAACAAACAAACCAAAAAAAAACAACTGCATTTTTTAATTCAAGAAATAAGTAAGAGTTCACAAGCAATCCAGAACAGGTGGCAGAACAGTCAGCCATACTTGCTGCAGTTCAGGCTCCACAGAATCACTTTGGCCAGTGCTTCCTGAGATGCTCTTTCAGCTGAGGAATGGAAGGCAGCAACTGCTGGCACTCATGACAACGCAGGGGCAGCTTCAAGAGTTCAGGCATACCACCTTGGACAGTCACTCTGCCAGCATCTTGTATCATCTTGATCACAGCTGCAAGCAAGGAATAAAGTTCACAGCCCAGCTACTGAAAAGCCAATATGAGATTTAAAAAAAAAAACCACAACCTAACCCCAAATAAATATATGCCAGGTATCCTAAAGCTAGTAAATATGAGGTTAGACTCACTGCTGGGAAAGGGGGGATGATCAGATTCTAAATCTGAGCAACCTATTTTGGAGATGATTACATTCCTTCGAGGTACCCTCTAAGCTTGTTACTATACCATGTTACTATATCAAAGGCTTATCACAGTGCTTTCCCATGGTTGGCCCTTGGTCAATGGCAGCTGTCATTGTTAACCTCCCAGCATACTGAAGTTCCACAGAATACACACTGGGAAATGCTTCCCTCTGCATACACAGCTTTCCCCTATTAATTAACCACTCCTGACACGAGGCACCTGCAAGCTCCTGCCCAGCTGATGGCAGAAGAGACATAAAACTGTTCAGAGCTTCCACATCCATGAACTCCAACAATTCTCAGAACAATTTTTAAGTCCCCTGATGTTATAATAAAACACCTTTCTTACCTTGACATAACAGCTTTCTACGTCCCCCAAGAAGGCTGCTCACAGCAAAGTGCCAATCCCACTACAATTCAAATAATCTAGTTTCTTCTACTGGGGCTCTCTTTATAGGGAACACAGAGATATACATCTGTTTTTGAGACCAGGCTACTATTTAGGGAAACAAATGAATCAAGTATAGCTAAGAAAATAAAACAAATGTAAAAACCAAAGAATACTATTTACCTTGAGATTCTAAGAAGTATTCTGTATTGAAAGAATTCCAATGTTTTTTGTTTTTAAGGCAAGGAGAATCAAAATCCTGGCTGATCACATGAAGGTGTACATGGCTAGTTGAGAGGGGGGAAAAAATTATAATTAAATTCATTAAAGACTATGGTTAAATTAAAAGGACAAACAGTACAAGTATAGGTATGTAAAACAGTGACAGTGTTTCCATTTAATTAAATTCATTCATTCACTTAAGAATATTAAATACTCATTAAGTACCTACTAGGGCCAAGCACTGTTCTAGCACTGGGAATTTTGTAGTGAACAAAATGGGAAAGGCCTCTGTCCTTACAGGAATTATATTCTCATGAGGGGAGACAAACAAAACATAAGCAAACCAATAAACAAGGAAAATTCAAATCATTAACATTGCTAAGAAAATAATAAAACAGGGAAATGTAATAGAGAGTGCCCAGAGGACATAGGATGCCTATTTAACTAGGTTAGAGTGTTCAGGGAAGGCCTCTCACAGGCAGTGATTTGAGCTAAGAAAGCAGTCAGGCAAGCAAAGATCTGGGGAAAGAGTATTTCAGGGAGCGGGGAGGTCAAGTGCAAAGGCCCTGAGATGAGAAAGAGCTTAGTACAACCAAGGAACAGAAAAGTAATATGGCTGGAATGCCTGGAGCCATGGAGCAGAGGTTACATAGGAGCCAGATCATAAGGGTCTTATAAGTCAGCAAGAAGTTTACACTATATTCTGATTACACTGGGGAGCCATTAAGGATTTTAAGCAGAGGAGTGCTACTAACTGAGTAATACTCTTAAAAGATGACTCTGCTGCTATGTGGAAAAAGGACTATAGAGTGGGTAAGGATGGATACAGAGAGACCTAGCAGTCCAAGCCAGAAATAATCACATCTTAGACTACAGCTATAGTAGTTGAGATGACAAGAAGCAATCCAATTTTTACTATACTTTGGAATAGAACCAACAGGTCTTACTAATAGATTGGAGGTAGGTTTGGGGAGGTGCCACCTACTGCGATGGAGAAGCTTAAGGGAAAAGCAGATTTGAAGAAGAAAATCAAGAGTTCTTTTCAATTTGTTAAGCCAGGTAGGATGCCTTTTTTTATAGCTTTGACTCTTAGAATCAATAATACTTCACATTCCCCCAATAAATAATCAAAACCAACCAGTATGTGCAGGAATCCAAAATGGAACATAAGCAGTAACAAACCTGTATTACATAAATAAAAGAACGATACTTAAGGGGGTCAGGAAGAAAATAACTAACCTAATTAACTTTGGAAAGCAGTATTTTCACTGGACACTAAAAATAAAAAGCACTATATACAACCCTGGCCGGGTAGCTCAGTTGGTTAGAGCATCATCCTGATACACCAAGGTTGTGGGTTTGATACCTGGTAAGAACACATACAAGAATCAATCAATCAATGCATAAATAAGTAGAACAAAAAAATCGATGCTTCTCTCTCTCTTCCCTCTCTCTCTCTCCCTGACCAAAGAAAGCCAGAATGAAAAAGAGTACACTTTAAATGATTCCATTTATATGAGAACAGACAAAAACAATCTATGCTGAAAGAAATCATAACAATGCTTGGAGAAGGAATAACTGGGAAGAGCACAAAGGAGCTTTCTGGGATGAGATGATAGAAATGTTCTGTATCTTGATCAGAGTGATAGTGACATGGTATATACATTTGTCAAAACTGATCAAACTATAAATCTTATGTATTCTACTCTATGTACCTTATGTCTCCATTTAAAAGGAAGAGTAATGGTGGGGGGAAATGTGGCACAAAAATTTCATTAGGTTAAAGTAGCTAAGTCATAATTACCCATTTAAATAAAATGTGAATAATGTTGGTGCTTAAAAAAATAACCAAAAATTATTCTGATACATGGTACAACATGGATGAACCTTGAAGAATCTTAAGTGCCCAGCCGGCATGGCTCAGAGGCTGAGCATCATCCTATGATCTAGGAGATCGTGGTTCGATTCCCAGTCAGGGCACATGCCCTGGCTGCGGGCTCAATGTCCAAGCTGCGGGCTCAATCCCCAGTGCANTTCGATTCCCAGTCAGGGCACATGCCCTGGCTGCGGGCTCAATGTCCAAGTTGCTGGCTCAATCCCCAGTGCAGGGCATGCAGGAGGCAGCCAATCAATGACTCTCTCTCATCATTGATGTTTCTATCTATCTCTTCCTCTCTCTGAAATCAATAAAAACATATTTTTTTAAAAAATTATCTTAAGTGAAATAAGCTAGTCACAAAAAGACAGATACTACATAATTCCAGATGCTATCTGCTAAAATAGACAGATACTATTAAATTCACAGAGACAGAAAGCAGAATGGTGGTTTCAAGCGGATAGGGGGAGGAGGGAATGGTAAGTAGTATGGGAAGATGAAGAAAGTTCTAGAAATAGTTGTGATGATTACACAATGTAAATGTACTTAATGCCATTGAACTTGACACTAGAAAATGGTTAAAATGGTAATTTTTATATTATATGCATTTTATCACCCAAAAAAACCACCAACATTAAAAACTCTGAAATCCAATTAGTCTGTTTATCTTGTTGTTTAGCTGTAAAAAACTGAGATCTGCCTTGCTTGCATTCTTTGAAAAGAATCAGTCATTCCTTTCTGAATCCTTCTGGGTATGAGCCAAAAGAAAATAGGCTCTGCACTTTTCTCTCATTTTAAATCTTAGATCTACTATACTAAGCTGTCATGACAAAAGTCAGTGATGTTTGTGTCCTTCAGAGCAATGGTCCTTAATCACTTAGGGGTTATAGAGGTTTCTGAAAAGTCACTGACCACAATTCTTCATCTGAAAGTAATAAAGCTGCTTTATCCAGTTCATAGATTATGTCCTCAGAGGTTTACACTTTGAGAGGAACAAAAAAAAAAGTATGTGATTGAATTACACACAGAAGTAAGAACTCAAGGCTTATAGGCAAGTCAGGCAGAAGAGTGGAAGTTTCAGCCCACCTACCCCAGAAACATCCCACCCTATCCACCTGGGCTTCACAGCTATCAGCACACTCAGCAGACTCAGGCCAAATCCATCTGTCCACCTAGACATAATCAGGATGCACCAGTACTCCCCACAGGGCTTACCTCATGCTGGGAATGGCATGGTAGCCCAATCGAAAGCGGAGTTTGCTGGGCCCAGCAACATCTGCAATCACCTTTTCCCCGACAGCATGCATGTGTTTGAGGAGCTCAAGGTGTTCCATGGTCACAGCCTTCAGACTGGAAATGGAGGCCCATGGTAAGACCAGCCAGTGGTGACGAGCCTTGGGGTATTTATCCTTAATCACCACCACTTGCTCATCTTTGTAAACCTAGCAGAGGAGAAGGAAATGGACATCTTCCATGCTTCTTCTGTGCCAGGTGCTATCATATTCATTAACTCACTTAATCCCCACCACAATCTTCTGCAAAAGTTTTTAGTATCCCAATTTTTTTTTAAATNAGGCAAGTCAGGCAGAAGAGTGGAAGTTTCAGCCCACCTACCCCAGAAACATCCCACCCTATCCACCTGGGCTTCACAGCTATCAGCACACTCAGCAGACTCAGGCCAAATCCATCTGTCCACCTAGACATAATCAGGATGCACCAGTACTCCCCACAGGGCTTACCTCATGCTGGGAATGGCATGGTAGCCCAATCGAAAGCGGAGTTTGCTGGGCCCAGCAACATCTGCAATCACCTTTTCCCCGACAGCATGCATGTGTTTGAGGAGCTCAAGGTGTTCCATGGTCACAGCCTTCAGACTGGAAATGGAGGCCCATGGTAAGACCAGCCAGTGGTGACGAGCCTTGGGGTATTTATCCTTAATCACCACCACTTGCTCATCTTTGTAAACCTAGCAGAGGAGAAGGAAATGGACATCTTCCATGCTTCTTCTGTGCCAGGTGCTGTCATATTCATTAACTCACTTAATCCCCACCACAATCTTCTGCAAAAGTTTTTAGTATCCCAATTTTTTTTAAAATATGTCTTTACTGATTTCAGAGAGAGGAAGGGAGAGAGAACAAGACAGAAGCATCAATGATGAGAGAGTCATTGATCAGCTGCCTCCTGCACACCCTTACTGGGGATCAAGCCCACAACCTGGGCATGTGCTCTGACCTGGAATCAAACCTTGATCTCCTGGATCATAGGTAGATGCTCAACCACTGAGCCACGCTGGCCAGGCTAGTATCCCAATTTTGACAGATGAAAGATCAGAGATTCAGGTAAGTTGAGTGTCCTGTGCAGTCACAGTTACTAAGAAGGAAATTTAGGATTGCAACCCAAATCTAGTTGACTCAAGGCTGTGTTTTAATCACCACCCTGCACAGAATACACAGAAGATGCACAGTATGAAGTAGTTCCTAATGATCTGATGTGAAATGCCTGCAGGCATCAATTCAAATACTCCCTTCTCCACACTACCACAGCAGACCACATGACACCTGCACGTTGTGTTCCCAGAAGCCCTATCAGGTCTGGCCCCTGTCACCCCAGGATGTAATTTAAGAAGAACTCAAAGACCCCTCCCACGGTGACACCTGACTATTAATCCCAGGGCAGCCCAGTAACTACAGTCACAATACATTAACTGTTTGCTCCCTTGAAAGGGACCACAGTAAGGTTAACTCAGCTTCCCTTAATAGTATCCAGAAGTTTAGGAGGAACAAAGCAGAGGGGATATTCACTTGAAGAACTTGGTTTCTCTCCAAAGAATTCCAGGTGCTCACTCACTGACAATGGGAAAAGCTACTTGTTCTCACAAAATAGCAAATAAAACAAATCTTTCAGAAGGACTGATCTCCTCTGATTTCATTTGTAGTTATGACCTCTGTGGAGTGGTCATTTAAAACATGAAATGTGTTTCAATGCAAAAATTTTATTCTGACCTGCATTTTGGGGTCCTGCATAGAAATCTTTAAGCCTTGACTCCAGTGGCCCAATGATTCCTAAAACAAAAAAACGTCATGTAAATCGCAGGTGCCAGTAGTTCAATTAGGCATTCGTTAACATTCCAATCGAACTTGGAAATAAGGTTAATTTTTAAGAATTAAACTGTATCCCTTTTATCTCAATCTTCTGCCTTGATAGCCATAAGCCATCCCCATTTTCTTCCTATATATGCAGAGCTGCATGTCTAGACGAAGGCTGGAAATCCAGAGTGTGAATCGCATCTTCTTCTTCCTCTCCTGTTCCATCTAAGCCTCACTAGGTTTCCACTTTGACATCACGATGCGAATCACATGACCTATAAAAGTGTTCCAATGCTAACCTTCTACAAATACAAATGACTGACCAGTTTTAGTAGCTCACTGTTAAGTACACTGCCATTACTGCCCTACCTTCAAGTGACTGACCTCAGGAATTCAAGAGAAAAGCATATAAAGGAACATTTACCAAAGTGACTTGTGACACAAATGAGTGACTCTTTCATCATGGTTAATAACCCCTACCATGGTTAATAAATAACCCCTCATGTGTGCTTGGGCTTTACAGTGTACAAAACAATTAAGCAGTCATTATAATGACTCAATTAATCTCCACATCATCTATCAAGCACACTATCCTTACCTTTTTGGGAGATTCTTCTGTCCCCTTGTTTGGGGACACAAAGCATTTGCTAGGGTCACTCCCAGGTTCTGGTCCTGTACTAGGTTCAGCTTCCTGGGCAGCATCCCTTTCTACAGAATCGCTGTTGCCTGACCTCTTTCTCTTTCTGTGTGTTTCCAGGCCAGGGCTCTTTGCCTCTTCCTCAAACTCTATAATATATGGATAGAGTTCATTCACCATGTGGAGAACCTGGCCAGGCTGCAGCTTCACCTCTTGGTCCTTCCCAATTATGACTGAGTCAATGCTGGTGGGATTGACCCCTACCTATGAAATAATCAGAAAATAATTATAAAAATAGCAGTAACACCATTACTAATATAACCACTGCTATGTTAACCACTTACCATGTGCCAGGCACCATGCTTAATGCTCACTTATATTACTCTATCACCTCCACACATGATAGAGAAGACTTACTGGCTGGCAGACACTCTAAAGTCAACAGCATAAGAAAATCGTCAACTATAAAATGGAAATCCAAGTTACAAATAGACATACCTGCTTTACCTTGACATATCCTTTGTTACACTCTGCTTTCAACTGCACTGAAAGAGATTGAAAAAAGTTAAACCCAAATGCCATGAAGAACCAGGCACTTGCTCCTACTCTCTCTACAGGACAACGAAGCCTCACTCTAGGAGGCAACTTGACAGGGGTTTCCTCAAAGGCCTATGAGCAAAACTGCCTCTTATGCAGGTGGCCAGGGCTCCAAATCCTTTCATAAAATGTCCAACAGTGTACGTATTCCCTTAGCTACTACTAATATCTCTATGAGGCAGCTTCACTGAGTCCCCACAAGTCTCTCTATTTCAGAGCCCTTGGACCACTTGGGATCACAGACTCTGCAGTCAGGGAAGGGGACCCACTTCTCTCATAACCTCTTGGCTCAGGATTAAATCAAGCTTCCACTATTATATAAAATTATCAGATACCTATAACAGAGAAAGGAGCAAATGATACATTTCTGGGAAAGAGAAATTCAGCGGGCCTTGGGTNCCACTATTATATAAAATTATCAGATACCTATAACAGAGAAAGGAGCAAATTTCTCTTTCTCTGGGAAAGAGAAATTCAGCGGGCCTTGGGTAGGAGGAGTGGAGAGAATATTCTAGAAAGAGGAGCGTTCAGACAGAACAGTCTGAGCATGTGTGAGAAGAAGTAACATTTAACACTCATGTTCAGATAAGTGAACAAAGTTTCTGGGGTGAGATGGGGAGCACAAAAGAGAGATACCATAGCTGCTCTGCAGGGAGGACAGGCAGAGGACAGGCTGACACACACACTGCTATTGTGACCAGGGGGACAGAGAGTGAGAAGCAGTGTCTGCTTCTGTATCTTGGGCCTAGCCAGCTCAAGCATGACTTTCTTTTCCCATTTAGATTAACTCGTGTGGCAAAACTAATAATCAACGCTGCAGACTCCAAGCCTTGCGAAACCCTGCTATGGGGAACACACTGCAGGTGGGAGGCCTGGAAGCAGTGAGTATGTACAGAAGTTTATAGGAAAAAATGAAGTGCATGGTAAGGCTTTTTCCTAAGGATTTTCATTTCATTAAATCCCAGGGACAACATTTCAAGAGCTAGATATCATCGTCTTATAAAGATACTACCCTCTATATGAGGCAATATGTAAAGGGTGGAACCATCCCATTGCTTCTCAGACATGGTTTCAGCCTGGAGATCCCAGAACTCAACTGTCTCACTGCCCAATGCAGACCGTCCCTGGGCAAAGCAGGGTACAAGACTCGGTTCCACCACCCATAGTAACAAGAAGGACCCACTTGTTCCCATCACTGAATAGCACCTTTCAGAGGGTGGAATTAGGAGTGAACAGGGCCCTGGTGTTGGCTAAAAGAGCTCAGTTCCTGAGTTTTGTTTATGGTAGAGAAGAGGTTTTCCATCATTAGCACCCAGTAAATGTGCACCTTTGGTTACCACTACTCTAAGGAACCAAGCATGGTAACTCTCACCAGTTACCTTGCTGTCGAGAACATTTCTTGTCAGTGATCTCGGTCTCTGGGCTGCGCCCGACCACGACTGGTTCCAAATGTGGAAGTTTGATTCGCTGGTGCCGGTTGTCCTGTCTCACCAACCAGCACACCCGCATCATTACTCTGAGAGACAAAACAGAAGAGAATCGCTGAGAAACTAGCACAAGTCCTCCAGGGCCACACCCCAGCATACCACACATGCCATCTACCAGCTGTTCATCTAGAGGCGAATGACTCACCTCCCTAATCTCAATTTCCTCACCTGTAAAATGTGGTAATGACAGGACTCAGAAGGTTGCTGTGAGGATTAAGCAAGATAATGTGGGTAAAGTATTCAACTCTATGCTTGAATCATGCCAAGCAATCAAATATTTATGTTTATTGATATACTTTATGTGTTGGACATTACTTTACATGCTGAGGATCAAAGAATGATTAAACATTGTCCCTATCCTTGTGGGTCCTGGAGTACAATGAGACAGAGACTCATATACCAATTATTAAAATATAATATGATAAGCATTGTAAAAAGGAAGTAATCAAATAGGGCATTAGCCCAGGAAAAGGAACAAGTGACTCTTGCAGAGTTATCAAAAAAGGCTTTATGAGTAAGGGATATTTATGTTGGGTTTTAAAGGACAAAAAGTTTGCCTGGCAGAATACTAAAGACATAAGAACAGAAGATATTCTTCAGTCCTTAGGCACTTTATGTGTGTTTGAAGGTTTCCCTTCCTTAGCTGTCCTAACATGCTGATGTTAGAATGATACATTTTGCTGCCATCTGCCAGAAGGCTGTCATAATAAATATACAAACATGCAATTTCCAAAGTATGAATGCAGCACCTCTGTGCAATACACAACCTGCACAATAGTGGCCATACTGGTGTTCTTTTGAAAAACAACCCTTAAGCCCATGTAGAGTACCAGCAGAAGAGAAAGAGACAAGAAATTCTGCTTGAGCAAAGGCAGAACAAAGGGGATGAAGAGGAAGAAGAGCCAGAAGAAATCATGAAGGTAGATTTAATTATCGACTGCATTTGGGGAATAACAAAGGAGTAAAGGAAGATAACCAGGATTTCTAATTTGGAAAAACCCCTTAACCAAAAGGAAGAATACACAGAGGGACATAATTTGGGGGTAAGCGGAAGGTGAAAAAGGGATGATTTCAGGTTAAAATATAATTAGATTAAGTTGCCTTTGAAAGATCCAAGGGTCAAGCTGGGATGAATGGGCATGAAGCTTAAAGAAGGGAATGGACCAAATGTATATATTTGAGAGGCATCAACATGTCATGGAAACTGAGGCAAAGAGAGGATGAGATCACCCAGGGAGGTAGAGCAGGGAATTATACTCAGGGACAGGACTAGATCTTCAGGATGCCTCCCTAGACTCCATAAACTTATCAATGCTCAAACCTCTAATATCCTCTCTTTAAGAAATGTCTCCTGCAGGCAAGGCAACACCTATCAGGCCCTCTGCACAAGCTTTGTGTCTGAAGGGGAGAGAAATGAAACCATATACATATATATATTCTTTAATATATCTTTATTGATTTCAGAGAGAAGGAGAGGGAGAGAGATAGAAACATCAACGATGAAAGTCATTGATTGGCTGCCTCCTGCACGCCCCCCACTGGGGATCGAGCCAGCAACTCAGGCATGTGCCCTGACTGGGAATTGAACCTCGATTTCCTGGATCATAGGTTGATGCTCAACTGCTGAGCTACGCCCAGCTGGGCAAGAAACCATATTTTTAAAATCAGAGTTTCATTACCATCTCCAAGGACAGGATAATGCAAGGCCGAGTGAGCATATGAGTGCTCAGTGGGTACAAAGTCATAGAAATTGGATCAGTCAGGAATGGCTTTTGAGACCTCCCAACTGAAAATGCCAAGAGTCAATGGGACTGATAAGGAAGAAAAGGAGTGGGAGGGGACATTCCATTTGAAAAAGCACAAGTGACAGCACCAATTTTAGCAATGACAACCCATTGGTGAGGGGTGGAAAGCAGACTTTAGCTGGCTGACCCAGAGGAGCTGCCCCAAAGAGTGACATAAAAAGGTAGAGGTCTTGAAAGAACACTAAGCTGAAAAGCTGAGATCTGACAATCAAGAGAATTGACAGGTTCTGAGCTACACAGTAAGGTGATACAACAGCTATGTGTAGGCAGGCTGCAATACAGAAATCTAGAATCAAAAATTAGGAGGCTTTTAATATAACGTGGGCCAGAGTGAGTTCCAAAAGGCAACTCAGCAGGTCTTTGTGAAGAAGCTGATGCCAAAGCATGAAGAGTCTGTTATAAATCTAAAATCTTAATTTGGAGCTTGAAATGATGATGGTGCTACAGGTGGGTCCCACTTTTAAATGCTATGTGTTCAGCCCAGCCGGGCGTGGCTCAGCGGTTGAGCGTCGACCTAGGATCCAGGGTTCAATTCCCGGTCAGGGCACAAGCCCAGGTTGCAGGCCTGATCCANCGGTTGAGCGTCGACCTAGGATCCAGGGTTCAATTCCCGGTCAGGGCACATGCCCAGGTTGCAGGCCTGATCCACAGTTGGGGGCATGCAGGAGGCAGCCGATCAATGACTCTCTCATCATTGATGTTCCTCTCTCTCCTTCTCCTTTCCTCTCTCTGAAATCAATAAAGATATATTTTAAAATAAATAAATAAATGCTGTGTGTTCAGAGGGGCATCTGTTTGTTCTTGCCTTCCCTGAGATTAGACAGTCTGTTCCATGCTTCTATGTCTCTGGATCAGCTCTATACTTTCCCTTCCAGAGTTGTAGGAATTGGTCCAAAAGAAATTCTGATTATTTCTTAAGGAGCCCAAGTAATCTGATAGGCCAGACAAGGCCAGCAATCTGACAACCTTGAACAGTGCTGTCCAGTAGTTTTCTGCAATGATGGATGTATTCTAAACCTGCACTAATAATGTAGCCACCAGGTGACAATAAAGCACCTGAAATGTAGCTAATACAACAGAGGAACTGAGTATCTTAGTTTTGTTTTTAATATATCTTTATTGATTTCTGAAAGAGAAAGGGAGAGGGAGAGAGATAGATAGAAACATCAATGATGAGAGAGTGGTCATCGATTGGCTGCCTCCTGCAAGCCCCCGACTGGGGATGGAGCCTGAAACTGAGGCATGTACCCTGACCGGAAATCGAACCTCAATCTACTGGATCCTAGGTCAATGCTCAACCACTGAGCCATGCTAGGCCAGGCTTAGATTTTTTTTTTTAAACTTAAAGTTAAATAGCTAGTTAAATGTGGCTGATGGCTACCATAATGTTCAGCACAGCCCTGGAAACTTGCCCAGCCCTGATCAACCCCAAGTCCCTCAGGCTTGAAGTTAAGATCCTCATAGTCTAACCCCACAGAGGTTACTAATTTTCCCTCCCACTTCTTTTCTTGGAACTAGTGCCACTTACCCACCCTTTCTCTCCTCCCTTTCCCCCAGACTCACATATGTGCATCCTTGCACACACATATATCACTCAGGTACAATGTACTGAATCATGTCTCCCAAATAAATAATTCTTCATATGACCTCCTGGTATTGGTTTATACTCTTTCCTTCCTCCTAAAACCTAAATCCTTCACAACTTTCAAGTCCCTCCTCCTCCCTGAGGCCTTCAGTGAGCTGTTTTCCCTTCTCTACAACTTGTTACTGGGTGTGGCCCATTTACCTCCACAATTCTCTAAAAGTTAAATGTGGGTGTAATTCTACTCTCCAGATGAGGATGCAATCTCCTTGTACACAGACCGCATCACTGCCCGTCCCCTCAGGAAGCTCGGAGGAAGGCTCTCTGGACATCACTGCCCTGGGTTAGGCCTGGTCTGATACAGTGGTACCTCGGTTTTCGAAGGTCTCCACTAACAAACATTTCGGTTTACGAACACTGTAAACCCGGGCGTAAACCCTTTGGTTTTCGAACATGCCTCGGAAGTAAAACATGCCACATGGCTTCCGCTGAGTGCAAGATCCTGAGGCCCAGCTGTCAGCTACTGATTCCTTGGTTTTCAAACGTTTCAGACCTCCGTCTTCCGGAACAGATTACATTAGAAAACTGTGGTACCACCACTGTACTTCAATATCCCCTGGTGTTCCACACACCTTTACAAGTGCATACTATGCACTAGGCACTCGCTAAATGTCTTATTTATATCGTCTCATTTAACCTTCACAACAACTCTCATTCTAAGGAAAAGAAAATTTAAGGTTTACAGAAGATAAGTAATGTGTTCAAGTCACACAACCAATGTTTGCCAGAGCTAGTGTTTGAATTAATTCCAAAGAACAGGTTCTTAATCACTGTACTATATACCTTTAGTCTTCACTCATTTGATCATTCAAAATTACTACATGCCCACTATGCAACCTGTGCCTTCTAGTGCTGGGAGTAAAGACATAATACATTTCACTTGCATCTTATGATGCAGTATAATACATCATGCCTGCTGTCAAAAGGGTATTATGGGAGCACAAAGGTGGAGTACCCAACCCAGAGTTAGAGAAAGGAGGTATCAAGAAAGGTTTCCTATAGAAGGTGGGCCTAAAATGAGTCCTATATATGTCAGATTAATTAGGTGAAAGGGAGCCACCTAATTAGGTGAGGAGCAAGAAGTGGAGAGAAAAATCAGGGAGAAGATTCCAGCCAAAAGGAACAGCAAGGGCAAGTACACTGCATATGAAGAAGCAGTNATTAGGTGAGGAGCAAGAAGTGGAGAGAAAAATCAGGGAGAAGATTCCAGTCAAAAGGAACAGCAAGGGCAAGTACACTGTGCATATGAAGAAGCAGCNACAGCAAGGGCAAGTACACTGCATATGAAGAAGCAGCTCAGTGTTACTGCAATCTAAAGTATAAGGCAGAAAAGAGGCTGGGGATGCAATCAGGTCCAAATGAAGCAGAGCCCTGGGTGTCTGACTGAGAAGCTCAAATTTTACAAGTTCCAATGGATTATGCATTGAGTAAACAATAAATATTTGCTGAATGAATGAGAGAAAAGATCAGATGAAAGAACAGAGAGCCCTTTTTAAGCAGGACTTTGACACAGATTTGTTTTCAAAGATCATTTGGAGGACATAGGTAGCATAGAGAACAGATATGTAGGGAATAGAACTAGAAGCGGGGAAACCAGTTAGAAGCCCATCGTATTTCAGGTGAGAGATGATGAGGCCTGAAGTAGAACAATAGTAGAGACAAAGTAGAGAGCACAGATTTGAGAAACATTTAGGGGGTAAAATATAGGGATTTAGCGATGGGTGTGATAAAGTAAATTTAGGGAAGATGCTGAGTTCAGTTCTGGGCCTCTGAATTTGAACTGCCTGTGGGACTTAAAGGCAGAGCTGTCCAGCTGGGTAGTCAGAGATGAGGGTGAAAGTCAGAAAACAGGTCTAAGATGACAACTTCTATTTGAGAGCATATAGGGAGTTAAAACCAAGCCAGCTGATGTGCTCACTTAGTGTGTACAGAATGAAAAGAACAATGGCCCAAAGTCACAAGCATTGGAAACACCCAACATTTTAGGAGAGGAGGGAAATAGACTATCCACAGGAGAAATGACTGGTGAGAGAGGAACATGGAGAAACAGGTAGAATATAAGCTCCTGAAGGAAACGCACTGTCTTATTCATCTCTGTCTCACAATAAATGTTCACTGAATAAATCAGCTGAGTGTATTATCCTGGAAAGCAAAATAGGGAGTGAGAGGTCTCAAGTTTCAAAGGCAGCAAAAGGATCCAGTGATGATTTTTAAGTGGCTATGTGGTTTGAGAATCAATCACTGATGATCTTAGGGTAAAATTTCTGGGGAATAAGAGGTCTGAAAGTTAGACTGCAGAAGGGAACGGGAGATGACNAATCAATCACTGATGATCTTAGGGTAAAATTTCTGGGGAATAAGAGGTCTGAAAGTTAGACTGCAGAAGGGAATGGGAGATGAGAAAATGGAGAAAGAATTTAGAATACTCTTTAAACACAGTATGGATAAGAAAGGGGAAAGAGTTACTGGGTGACAGCTAAAGGAAGATGATCACCAAGAACTTTTTATTTTCTGGCTTGCAGGGTGGGAGTGGGGGTGAGGGATGACCAGGGATCTCAGAAACTTGACCTTGTTTATACATGAATGGGACAGGGGCAGAAAAGACAAATGAAAACAAGGTCTCATAGATGAGAGTAAAAAGAAGGGTCAGAAACACAGATAAACGGGTTTGCTTTGATCAGAGAATATAGCTCATGCTCTGAGACTTAAGGAAAGGTAAAGATGGGGGTAAATCTAGGTGACTTTGTAAACATGAAAACAGAGGCAGAAATTGGAGGAAAAGCACATCTGGTTACCTCAATTTTCTCCATAAAATAGCAGATAACAACAGAGTGAGGTGTATGGGAGCTTACTGAACGGCTGAATAAGATCAATATATAATAGTGGATAACATCCAGGCCGCTGAGGTCCAACTGCTTGAGTTCAAATCGTGGCCCCACAACCTACTCGCTGTATGACCTGAGT